GCTGACACACTTATTTTATAAAAATAAAGAAGAAAAAATAATAGAAATATAAAGTATATTTCTTTTTGTTACTTTATCGTTTTCTGATCCAATATTTTGAGAGTTATATTCGAGTTTATCAGAGTTTGGTATCCAAGATACCCCTAAGGTTTTTACGCTCGTGTCATCTGTTATTAAGTATTTGTTCTCGTCTCTGTGATTATCTGCGTTTATATCGTCAATAACTCTATGATCGTTAGATTGAAGCTTTCTTAGTTCGAAACCGTATTCGGATAAAATTTTGCAAATGTTTTGCCTTATTCTTTTAAGAGTATCAAAATCTAAATGTCCTGTTAGAAAGTCGTCAACGTAGAAATCCGACGCAATTATGACACCTTCAACCGAAAATCTGTCAGCAATATTATGTGAAATTTCTAATAACAATGGGTTGAAAGGAACGACGCAGACGCTGTGCCATACGTTATGGTATTCAGCTGAAAATGCTTTATTTGATCGTTTAGAGAATTTCGCCATAGTATTCGTTGGAGATTTCTTTCGTTTTCGTCCACTAAAATCTGACGATACATCTTAGCTATGTCGATGGCTAAAACCGTATTATGTTTCCTGAAACGAAGTAGTATTAAGAGAATATGTCATTTTGTATAGTGGGACCTATTTTAAGTACATTATTTAGAGATAAATTAGTGGATGACTTAGGCTGAGAACATAGTGGAGCGACGAGGAGAGCGGCGAGCAAGCAGCGCGACGTCGCGTCCAAAACAAACCTGTGAAGACAAGTACGCGTGAACATAGTAAAGCGATCTGCTCGAGCGGCGAGAAGTTATTTTGTTTTCGTCGCTTTGTCGCGCTGTAGAAAACGATGGATTTCCAAAAATTAATAGATTTAGTGTTTGTAAGAGAGCTTTGATAGGACAAAAAGATAGTAATCACCATAACTGGTATATTTTAGATAAGTTATCTCTCCGGGTTGCGTATTTACGTTTCCGTGTTCATTTCAACGCCGTGCGGTCTTGAAATCAGCACGGAATTGTTGCTCAGTATTGCTTTACAAACCCGTGTTGATTTCAACATCGCGCGGTAGTGAAATCAGCACGGAAACGTATCCCAAAGTTGGTTGACAAACCCGTGTGTAAAACTTGGAAAATAAGTTCGTCATAATAATGCTTTTATTTATTCACTATTCTAATAAACAATATGCATTCCTTCGGAAACTCTCTATTTATTTATTTAGTAATGCTAAAACACACTATTTGAAAGTCGATGAGAGAAAATAGTATGATTCATTGGCAAGTAATGTAAATATTTGCGATCCGGTAAAATTGTGATGTAAGAGGAGGCTTAGCTTGTCAGTTGTTGATAGGCCGGCAGGCTGTTGTGTTGTGTTTTGTCATAGAGCTGATATTTGGGGGTTAAGAGGTCTTTTGACTATAAACGTTGCAAGTACTGTAAGGCAACGGGTCGTTTGACCATGAGAAGAAAACCTCTTGTGACGTCTTGCCTTCGAGGTTGGTCTTGAGAGTTTGAGGTCTCCCTTGTCTTCTCGATTGACACGATGCGGCGTTGTAGTAGCTCACTACCCCAATTAGCTTATTCGATTGGGATGCGAATCTGTTTAGCGGCAGAATTGCGTCCGGGGGAAACCCCTATACTATTTCAGGTGATACTACCAGCTAGTTGTTGAAGATGATTAACCAATAACCGAATGATATTTGAATTAGATGGAAAATATGGAATGGGATATATTGAATAGAATATATCAGTGGCTAGGGGGCGGAGTACTCCCGGGCGAGTCTTACTATTTAACTATCAATTTTATCCAGATCAGTAAATGTTTGTTTTGTTATTTTCATGTACAATGAGAGAGTGCTTGCCAATGACCAACTAAATGGATATTTGAGGTAAATTTGCATTGTGAGACCCGGTTGAGTAAGCCCCAAAAATAGCGATTTTACACGTTCTGATTTCAACATGCGATCTTCTAATTAAGCATGCATGAAATTATTACGTTTGTTTTTCAAAAATTACCAATGATTTTGGAGCTTTTGAAGTTTGAAAAAAATTAATCAGTTAGTTATACTTCCGAAGTTCAATGTTTGTTGTTCAATTTGTTGCATGATTACACCAGTTATGATGAGAAATGTTTTGTTACATTATAAACGCCAGGGACAAAAACAAATTGGATAATGAAAAGACGTTTTTCTAAACCACTACGTTACGATTTTCGAAAAGTTTACGTTTTTCAGCTGGCAGAAATAAATAAATCGAAAAACAAAACTCAAGGAGCAATGAGAAACTTCAATTATGAAGCAAACATAAGCATAAAATTTTTAAAAGTGGCGGAACATGCTTTAAAAACATCATCTTTATTGAAGAGAGGTTTAAATGTCGCTCTACATATTAATTTTATTCATTCACACAGAGTCAATGTAGCTCAATCTTTAGGACTTTCGCGTTGCTCTGAAGATACAAAAGAACAATATAGACATATGTCTATATTGTTCTTTTGTATCTTCAGATATATATAGAGAAAATATTCCTATATAGATAGGAAATATTCCTACTTTGACGCTGGAATGACAGCTGCAGCAGCTAAATCATTTCAGGAGTTTAGCATTATGGAAAATTGCGACGAAGATGTGTATATGACACTAGCTAATGCCCAAAAAAATCTACGGTCCTTCCACCGCAGATCCCGTTCTGAACATATATTTATGTAAAAAGGCATTGCGTTAGACTCTCATTTTATATATTCACAATGTATATTATTAATAGTCCCCCCTAATAAATTAACCTGAACGGATTTATTAACATTCTTCTGCCCATAGAAAATTTCTAACATGGCCAGATTGTACCATATCTGTTTTATATAATAACCAAAAACTGTGATTTTCCGGAAATACTATTAATCTTAGTTATGAGGAATTACATTTTTTTTCAAATTCATTTTGTTTCATCACCTTCTTCCACATGTAAAAAATACATCATTAATGATTGAACAAATCAAACATAATATAAATTCACTTGGAAATGCTTTGAAATCATCCTCATACACTCCATACTTCATATTCATAGCTCAAGAGAAGTTCATAATATATTAAACCAACATTTACGATTTTCCATCTTTTTCGGCCGCATACAAAAATATTTTATTATACTTACTGGTAAATGTTATCACACAATGGAACAATTAATATTTTAAACATAATTGAATATTTCGCATAAGGTTCTCTTAAGATTCTAAGGAACAAATCAAATTTATCCAGCCTATCAATCAGCTCCGACAAGACAGGTTTGCGTCAGGCTTCTGTTGCGTAGCTAGATATTCTGTGATTTGAGGTACATTGTTTGTACCTCTATTTTTGCTTAGAATTGAAGGAAGAACCGAAATATGCAATAATATACAGGGGATTCTATTTAAAAAAAATGAAACTTTGATGTGCCACGACTTAAATAAAAAAAAACGACCGACCCTGTATAGTTAAATTTATTACCCGCTAATAGATATTTATAAACCCTGTAACTTTTATATTTAACTTTTTGGGGTACCTCCTATATTTCACCTAATAATCGACCGTTTCCATACATAAAAGAAACCCTGTATAATGTTAATAGCGTATAAAATATACAGGGTGTTTCAAAAACAGGTGCCATCTCTCATGGTGTGATTTCTCATGTAAAAATAAGATTTATTTTTCATATCAACATAGGTCCGATTCTGCTTTGTTTCGTAGGTACAGGGTGTTAAAATCTTAATATTTTTTCGATTTATTATAATTTTCTTCTAAGCACTTTAAGTGATTCGAATAAAATTTTGAGGGTAAAAGTTACTATAACTGCTACATATTTTAATGCTAAAAAATTGTCCATAAATTCATCAGCGACGTGCATATGGGTTATGACTGTAATATTTTTCAAAAAAAAACATGTGCGTCACTGATTTTTTTTCTTTTGATATCAAAATTATGTAGGCCGTTTAATGTCAATTAAAAGTTATCTCTTGATATTTTGTCGAATTCGGCCTCCTTGATGAAATAAACGCAATTTTATTAATCACAATAATTAATAAAACTAAAATAAAAATAAAATTAAAAAATTATATATTTTATCTAATTTATTATTAAATATTATTAATTTTAATTATTAGGTATTACTATTAGTCCAACCTAGAGCAATTTCAAATAAAAAATAATGCTATTTAAGATAATTACAAAAAACCTAAAGTTTTAACATCCTGTAACTCAAAAACTATGCATTTCTATACCCATGTTTATAGGAACTTTTTTCATATTTTTTGATGAGTACTTATTTAAAACTTTCGCAAGTTAATGATGTTAAAATTTTTTAAAAGCTGCTATTAGACTTGAATCAAGGCAAATTAGTAAAATTGCGTTTATCTCATCAAGTAGGCCAAAATCGGCAAAATATCAAGAGACAACTTTTAATCGGCATTAAACTGATTATTTTTTTGATCTGATCAAATATTTTATTTGGCTAACAAGAGAAAAAAAAGTCAGTAGCGTACATGCTTTTTTTAGAAAAATATTCCAGTGATAACCCATATGCACGTCCCTGGTGAATATGTCGACACATTTTTAGCTTTAAAATATGTGGCAGTTATTGTAACTTTTACCCTCAAAATTGCACTCAAAACGCTAAAAGTACTTGGAAGAAAATTATAATAAATCGAAAAAATATTAAGACTTTAACACCCTGTAGCTACTAAACAAAGCAGAATCGGACCTATGTTAATATGAAAAATAAATATTATTTTTACGTGAGGAATCTCACCACAAGAGATGGCACATGTTTTTAGATGTTGATTCTTCATGTAATATACACCCTGTATATTACATGAAGAATCCTGGAGAAAACGACGGCAACGTTTCTGCAGTAGTAGATATGAAGACCTCGGGGGAAAACAGTAACAAGCCACAACATGAGTGAAATTGATTTAATATTATGATTTATTGATTTAAGAACGTAACACGCCACAAGGAAGAAAGTGCGGTATTTGGGCAACAGATGGCGCCACAGTTATCTAGTGACGTTCTTCGGTCAGGACTGAATGCTGTCTGATGTTGACGGAAGAACGGAACAAGCCACACATTTTAATCATGGCGACCGGCAGAGATAGTGCGGTTAAGCGAAAGTTGTTTATTTAAGGCTCGTTTTCACGATGATAGATTATGCGATAGTTGCTGTCATGAGAGACACTATCGCATAAACTATCACCATGTAAATACCCCGATAGTTACTATCATGCTGTCGCGACAGTGCTCTCGGACTATCTCGCTTGATGAGATAGTTGCAAGTACTTTCGTGATAAGTTGTTGTTTTTTGAAGAGGTGCACAATTTTGTGTATTAAAATTCGGTAAAAAAATGAGCAGCCAGCGATTTGACACGATAAAATTTTTGGAAGAATATGAAAGGTTTCCATGTTTATGGAAAAAAAGTTCCCCCGATTTCAAAAACAGAGTCAAGAGGGATCATGCAGAAGAACTTCTGCTACCCATATCAGGACTCTCTACAATAAAAGAACTCAGGCAGAAAATAAGGAGCATTAGATGCACGTATAATCAAGAAGTTGCTAAAATAAGGAAATCCATGGGAACTGGATCGGGCACCGATACTGTGTATAAACCAAAACTCTCATGGTTTCACGTAGCTGACAGTTTTTTGAGACAAAATTTGGGAGAAAATGAGTCACAATCTAATTTGGTAAGTTTTGTTTAATTTTCAGCTTTATTTCATACAGGTTGATCAAGTAAATGGATCATAGTTTTGAATTGTTGGATTTTTTCGAATGTTGCTAACTAAAATACTGCTATACCGGGTATCCCTTATTAATAGTGGCTCACCCTTATAACTTTTATGTTTTACTTATTATAGCCCTTTAATGTCTGATACCATATATCAGACATTAAAAGGTTATAATAGGTAAAAAATAAAAGTTATAAGGGTGAGCTACTTTCAAGGGACACGCTACAGTATGTCCGGCGATGGTAGACAAACGGACCAAACATTTTATTTTCCGAGGAAACGATATTCTTTATAAAAAGTTTTGCTTTCCAAAAAAATACGATTATCGATAAAATAAAAAAATATACGCAGGGTGTCCCAAAAGTTAAAATTTCAATTTTTTTTACAAGAATAAAATACCCTTATTTTAAAGAATGTCTTTTCCTTGAAAATTTAAATTTTTGCTCCGTTTGCCCTCTTGTCTACCCTATTACCGGACATACTGTATGTTAGATTTTGAGAGATAAACCACCTAGGAATTATTATTTGCACAAGCTGGTGGGAATTATTAGGATTTTTTTAAGGAATTATAAGAATTATGAGGACTTTTAAGATATTGAACACCCTTAGCTGATCAAATTATATTACTTATATATTTTTTGACATATCCTAAATTATAAAATATTAGAAGAAATTTATGATAATTCATTATTTGGATGAATCTTCGCAATTACTACTCTATCATTTTGTATTGCCAATCGAGTGCTCCTGGCCCTGTAAAATAGTTAGTTAAGTCTTCTCTTTTTTGTCGAGCTTCTGGCAAATAATTTCGCTGCAAAGCTGCTCTTACATCAGCCAGACCATTTTGTCTAGGAACATTGCGCCAATTTCCAGGAATTATTCGCCCTGTCACGTGATCTTCAATATCAGCTGTTACTGTTACTTCATTTCCCACTTTTCTTATCCAGTTGTGCAAGGCACATGTAGCTTTTATTAATTTTACTACTGTGGTAGGAGCAAGTAATATTGGAGATCTGAATATACGAAAACGCGAAGACATTATGCCAAACGCATTTTCTACTACACGTCTGGCTCTACATTGTCTATAATTAAATACTTTCTGGGCAATACTTAATTGATTTCGTCGAGGATAGGGTTTCATCAAATATGGCTTAAGTGGAAATGCTTCGTCTCCTAATATAACGGAACCGTCTGGTTGGTTCAATATGTTTCTTTCAAGCGCTTGATGAAGAGAGGATTTAGCAAATATTGAACCATCGGAAATGCTGCCATAACTCCCAATATCAATAAAAATAAAATTATAATTATGATCCACCAGGGCCAGTAGTACAATACTAAAGGTTCTTTTGTAGTTAAAGTACTGAGAACCGGAATTAGGAGGGCACTGAATTAAAACATGTTTTCCATCAATTGCTCCTATGCACTGCGGAAAATTCCAACAAGTTTCAAACCCATTTATAATTTTTTTCCAGTCGTTTTCAGTTTTTGGTATCTGAAAATGAAAACACATTTATTAAAGCAATTAAAATCATTCTTTTATATTATTTTATTATATTATTTCTTAAAAAAATAGTGTATATACAACAGGGCTGCGAATCTTATATTATTTGCTTCGCCCACTTCTAGCGGCTCGGCCGTGAATTCTGGGCTCAGCTATAATAAAAAATTCTCAGCCTATAAGGTAATGTACTATTATTATATTATTTATCTTGCTTTTTGTTGTAGATGTTGCCAGAACAAATTTCAGAAGAAATCCAGGGAAATGCACCCTCAATAGTAAATGAAGACTCGACACAAGAGACATGGGAGTGTGAAAAAAACCCTTTTACAAATTCAAGAGAGGCACAATCATGTTTTAAAAAGCTTAATGCACAGCCGATAACGCCAAATCAATCTTCACAAGAGCCTAGTAGAGATTATGAAGAAACCCCCTCTGTTAATTCGGCGAGAAAAACAAAGACTCGGAAAAGACTCGCGAACAATGGAAAAAGTAAGGAGGATGAATCGTTGGACCAGGCTGTTAAAGCTTTAAAAGAAGTAGCATCTGTTGCCTCCAATGAATTTGATGCATTCGGACAACATGTTTCTTCCCAACTTAAGTGCCTTCCATTACAAGAAGCACTACTACTTCAGGAGGATATCCAGAAATCTATAACAACTGTTCGCCTGCGTTGTTTAAGAAATCAAAATGTAATCAACACTTCATTCGACAAGGAAACACGGACCACTACTTCTTCATCAGAAATGTATCGACAAGACGATACATCAGAACTATCAAGTTATTCAGGGGAAAATAAACGATATCATTATCAGCAGGTTCCAAATGAAGTGCAAAATCAAAATGGCAATAATCCTTTATTTTCCCATGAAGCACAGGAGACTATTTGCTCAGAAAGTTATTTACAAGGCAATACAGACTCCTCAACTTCTTCAGGGGTAAATGAACAATATCAATTTCGGCATCAGGGTCAGATGCAATTAACAAATTATTTCAAGAATTGGGCGGAAAGTGATGACGCCGGTGTTGATTTCAATTAAAATAGATACTTACTTAAAACTTAGAATATTCTGTTGATTTTGTTTGAACATTTTTTGTATTTTTTTTTGTTTGAGATTGGAATTTTGTAAATAAAGTTACTGTTTACCTACCATAACATATTCTTTTAATACTTCGTATATGGCATCAAAAACATATGGTAAAAACTGGCTTATAGTACACTTTGGCACTCGATAAAGGTATTGCAATGATCCCAATGAGTCGCCAGTGGCAAGGTATCGACAAGCTATTTGAAGTTTTAGTTTTGCTGATATAGGTTCTCGCATAACAGTATAATTCTTTTCTATCTTGCTACAAACCTATAAATAAATAAATTTATCTGTACCTAGTGAATAATATAACTTTTGATTATTTTGGAATTAGGCCTATACTTACTTTATTTAGTAACGTATTAAACATTTCCTCATTCATGCGTAAAAAGTTTAAGAAACTTTTCGGATCTTCTACAGCAAGTTCGTTCAGAAGTCTTTCAGAAGCACCAAGTGTAATTCTTCTTGCTATCCATTTTCTCACCCATATCTTCTTCGTTTTCCTTTTTTTTCTACGTTGAATTTTATTAATTATTTCACCAATAACAGCTGCTACTGCACAAATTTTTGCCCTGTCGGCCATTTTGCTATATACGATCCCGATATTTTTTAAAATACGTGTAAACACCTCACTTTCATGATGGAACAATCGAGGTGACTATCATGAGAGTACTATCATGATAGTACTATCACCGTCAAAACGAGGCTTTATGATGAAAACAGCGACAGTAGTGAAATTTCGAGTGAAACGGATGATAGTGTAAGGGATAAGGACTATTTTAATTCGAGTAGCAGCAGCGATGACAGCAGTGTTGTCACCTCAGAGGTAAATAGAATATAACGTGGCTTGTTACGTTTTTAACTAAAATTTTGAAGGTTTTTGAAAGCTTAAAAATATTTCAATTATTGCAACTTGGAATATGCGTTGAGTATTTATTTCCACCTGAGTTTATGGAATGTACTCTTATTCTAAAAAAGGCGTAAGATTTTTGAATAGAAAGAGGTTAGGTTAGGTTATTTCAGATGGCTTGTGGCTTATTACCTTTTTGCATAAAAATTTATCAATTTCAGTTTTGGTGAAAACAACCGATAAAAAGGTAATGTATTATTTTTTTATCCAGGGTGGACGTGCTACTAGAGGATTCATCGAAACGCCGGAGAAAAAGAAGGCTGCCAGGAAAAGACAAATCAACACAGAATGCAGGAAGAAAGTTAAAGCCCAACATAGACGAAATCTCGGACATGGATATACCACTACAAAAGGAAAGACTCAAATACCTAGAACTTTGGGCCCACCATGTAGCTGCAAGAAGAAATGCAGAGAATTACTACTACACGGAGTAGAAATGGCGATATTTCAATCATTTTGGGACCTACAAACGTTCGATAAACAAAACGCTTATTTATTTAGCACAATCAAGAGTGTCGGTAAAAAGCGAGTCTACCCAAAGAAAACCAAAAGGCAGACATCCTCAAGATCTACTACGTTTAGGTACTTTGTAAAAATCAACGGAAAAGACCAAGAAGTTTGTAAACAAGAGTTTTTATCTATCCATGGTTTGCAAAATTCAAAAAGATGAGTTTATAATATATGTACCCAGATAAACCAAGGACTTCACACACCAAAGAGCGATGGTCGCGGAAAACACAAGAATCGGAAAAACAGGTTACCTGAAGAAACTATCCAGTCTATTCATGACCACATTAAGGCCATTCCGAAATATCGTAGTCATTATAGTAGAGAACGACAAAAATGCTATATTGATCACGATATATCTATATCTTCTCTATACAAAAAATATTATATCCCTTGGTGTCAAGAACGGAACATTATTCCCGCAAAGGAAGATAGATATCGCAGAATCTTTTATTCTGAATACAACATCGGATTTAAACTCCCTAAGAGCGACACGTGTGCAACGTGTGATGAATATAATACTTTGCTTAATACCCACAAAGGTGATGAGAATAAATTGAAGGAAATCAAAACAAATTTAGACCTACACCAAAGACGAGCAGAAGCGATGCAGAAAAACATGAAGAATGAAATTCAAAGATCTAAAAATGAAAATGACTTGGAAGTTATATGCTTTGATTTACAACAAGCCTTGCCTATTCCTCAGCTTGCAGTAGGTAAAGCTTTCTACTTACGAAAAATCTGAATGTATAACTTAGGAATTTATGACGGTAAAACTGGAAAAAGTTATATGAATATGTGGACGGAAGATGTGGCGAAACGAGGCTCCGATGAAATAGCCAGCTGCCTTCTCAAATATATCAAGGAGCATCCTCCCACTCCCAACAAACACCTGATAGTGTTTACTGATAACTGTGGGGGCCAAAATAAAAATTGGACTATTATGGCATTATGGTATAGCATATATATTCATCTAGTAAGGACTAAAGTATATAAATCTATTGAACATAGATTCCTTGTCGCTGGGCACACCCACTTTACCATGCGATCGAGACTTTGCTGCAACTGAAAAGCATAAAAAATACTTGGAACAAGTTTACTCTCCTGAATGTTGGGTAGAGGCCGTCAAAGATTCGAAAATTCAAAATCCATTTACGGTGTATAGAATCAATCAGAATGACATTTTTTCTTTTGAAAAAATAAGTAAATCTCTAAGCTAGAAAAAGTTGACTGATGAAAAAGAAAATGTGGATTTTTCCAAAGTACGTTGCTTCAAGTTCGAAGAAAGTCATCATAATACAATGTTTATTAAGCATTTTTTGAATGAAGCATTCAAGGCAGTCAACATTGGGAAGAGAGGTCAAAAAATACAGATAGAAGAGCTTAATGCATTAGAAAAGAAGTATGTTGGCCCAGTTCCTATTAATGCAAAAAAGTTGGCGAATTTGAAGGTTTTACTTCCATATATTCCTGGAGTTTCCCACAACTATTATGCTAGTGTTGGTGTCAAAACTACTGTTAATAAAATCGATGATGACGGTGAAGACCAAGAAGGAGGAGTGGAAAATATCGATGGTGACTCTGAATCCGATTAAGTAGTTTGGTTTGGTTTGGTTTGGTTTGGTATTTTTCTCGTTGAAATCAAATAACCTAATATCTGTTTTGATTTTGCATTGACATTTTGATTTCAATAAATATTTTTACCTATCATTCTTTTCATTCTTTGGTAAATATTTAACATGTATAATATTTTGCAAAACGGTAACAAGCCACATTTTTTCCAAAATTTCATCTTTTTTTCAAAATCCGTCAGGACATTTTTCTTATTGCGGAAACTGAATGATACTATTTTGTCGTATAAACAAGAAAAACAATTATTTATAGGTATGTTTTAATTATCCTCATTTTAGGATTTAATGGAAAACGTTTATCGTGGTTTTCTCTAAACGATTGAAATGTGGCTTATTACTATTTTCCCCCAAGGTCTTCATATGTGAAAAATAAGTGGTAAATAAACATTTCTACATTTTTTAGATGCAAGAAAATTTAGTTATTTAGTTAAACGTGCATATAATTAAGTAACTGATATCGAAACAATACAATTCTCTATATTTTTATACTTATTTAGTCACGTTGCTCCATATTTCAAAAAAATATATTTGAATCAATTTTTATTTTGTTTTATTTATGATAAGAAAAAATACTGTTACGTTTTTCGTCGGTTCCGTGTGGATAGAAAGTCACAATTTATTTAAACACAATTTATTTACACTAAGTAACAAACAATAACGATTAAAAGACTTAAAGAACTATATACAAACTATTTATAACTATTTACCTAGAAAGAATTTATTTTGAATTTCGCGCGACAACTGTACTCGTCTATTTATTTCTGTTCTCCTAAGGCTCCAGCCGGTTTATATACCCACAACTAAAGAGTTCTCGAATAATCCGTAGCAGCCGAGATTTTTTTCCATTCATCCTTGAGCGGCGCCAGGCGTATTAGTCAGCTTAGACCGGGTTCACACGGGTCCGCAATACTGCCCCTTTCTTAGATACATGCTCGTCCAGAGATGTATACCGTGAATGAAGGTATTTGCAAAGCTGGCCCCTGGTACATTGAGAAGTCTGGTAGAAATAGCAGTCTAAGGTTTTCTCTCCCAATCTCAGCTTTGGGTTGTAGCAAACGAGGATCTCGACACCCGTAAATCTAAACAAGGCTTCAATCATGTTCCGGATTGTACGCCAAGTCAAATCATCGAGTCCACACGCCAGCTTCGGAATGGCTAATCGTGTAATGTTGTTGTTTAGCAGTGCTTCTCTCAGTTCAATCAGGGTCTTCCATAGATTGAGATAAGTCGGCTTACTCGGTGACCATTCCTTGGTGACCAGGTAGAAGATGTGTCTTGCTTGACCATGCGCATCGTCGGCTAGCCTCAAGACGCTTCCAACCTCTGGATCCTGTCGGCGTAGTTCTCCGACACGCCCAAACTTTTCATTGAACGTCGCAGCTATTCCTCAGGACATTCGCAAATCTCGGGCCACACAGTGAGCGAGCGAATAATCAGTAGGCACGGAAAAGAGGTCCCGTTGTTCTTCTTTAGTCACACCATAGCGAGCCTTCTCACTGCTCTTATAACGGACCATGAAGTCGTCAAAAGACATCTCCGAATCAGGGGGATCAAAGCTGCAGGTTCTCACGGTCCCAGCACGATCTTCTATTTCGCCTTGGTAGGGGCTCAAACGATTGAAATAGACGATACTTGGTTTTTCTTTTGGCAATTCCCTGATACGGTATACGACGTCATTAATCCTATCCATGACTTCGTATAGTCCTTCCCACGAGGATTGTAGCTTCGGAGATAATCCACGACGTCTCTGCGGGTTGTATAGCCACACCAAATTTCCTGGTTGGTATCCTCCATGCTCAGCTTGAATGCCGTAGTGCTCCTTCATTCGGTCACTAGCGCTTTGAATATTTAGGCGGACTCGCTGATGAATGTCGTCCATCCTTTGGCGTAGTCTATGGACATAATCTTCTCCGGCGACATCTTCTCCCGGTCGGCAACCGAATTTCAGATCACAGGGTAGGCGCACTTCCCGTCCCATAACGATGCTGGCTGGAGTTTGCCCTGTAGATTCTTGGACGGATGAACGGTAGGCCAACAGGAACAGGTGAAGAAATTTTTCCCAGTCTCTTTGGTGGTCAGAGACTACTTTGGCCAGATAACGGTTGATAGTTCTGTTCATGCGTTCAACCATCCCATCGGATTGTGGATGTAGAGCAGTCGTCCTGGTCTTGCGGATATTCAGGACTTCACAGACGCCTTGGAACAGATTGGATTCAAAGTTTCTTCCCTGATCTGAATGAAGCTCCATGGGAACACCAAACCTGCAGATCCATTCCTTAACAAAGGCATCAGCAATGGTGGATGTTTCATGATTTGGCAACGCGTAGGCCTCGACCCATTTGCTAAACTAATCCATCACTACCACAATGTATTTGTTGCCATCGTTCGTCTCCGGGAAAGGATCAGCCACGTCGATCGCTATTCGCTCGAAGGGACTGCCTACATTGTACTGGGGCATAGGGGCTTTACCAAGCTTTTGCGGCCCATTGATGACAGCGCAAACGTCACATTTCTTGCACCAGGCCCTCACATCTTCTTTGCAGTTCAACCAATAGAACCGTTCACGCAGCTTGCCAAGTGTCTTGGTAACACCAAGATGTCCACAGCTGGTTCCATTGTGAACTTCCTCCAAGACTTCCGGGACCCCCTTCTTTGGAATGACGATCTGCCTTCTCTCTTCTTGTCCCTCTGGTCTCTCAATCACACGGCGAAGCAATCCGTTATCTATTACCAATGAATTCCACTGGGACCAGTACGACTTCACGTTCGGCGAATATCTGCAAACTTCCTCCCACGTTGGTCTCTGGTCCGCGTTTTTCCAGTTAATCACCAAGACCAACTCTGGATCACTGATTGGCTCATTTGCAAGATCTTCGGTTTGCCAACTATCACCAACCACAGTCGTCCTTAAGACTTTCACTTCTTTCTCTGCTTTGCAACGACTTCCCATCTGTCCGCAATTCCAACAGCGAATCGGTCCCTCCTTCTTGCTCATATACTGATCCAGTACCTTCCGCACAATCCTTTCCACTTTGGAATCGTCGGAACCATCCTCAACAGCCCGTACAAACCCTAGAGACCTAGAGCATTCTTTCGCGGCCTCAAATTCCAGGGCACGTGCTAGGGCATCTCCCAAATGCGTTGGATGAGGTAAAAGAAGCGTTTGTCTTGTCTCGTTGTCACGTAAACCATCCATAAAAGCCTGTATTGTTATGGATCCCCACCTTCCTCAATCAAACCGTCTCTCAGTTTGGCTTGCAAAATGCTTTTCTTTCAATCTGTCTCGCATTCCCTCTCTTCCGTATGCATTTTAATTCTGACACTTTTAGGTCTTTCAATAATTTTTTTGGAGCCATTGTCAGTCTTTTTATTTTTCTAGTCTATCACACACGTCACACATGACACCAATTGTTACGTTTTTCGTAGGTTCCGTGTGGATAGAAAGTCACAATTTATTTAAACACAATTTATTTACACTAAGTAACAAACAATTACGATTAAAAGACTTAAAGAACTATATACAAATTATTTATAACTATTTATCTAAAAAGAATTTATTTTGAATTTCGCGCGACAACTGTACTCGTCTATTTATTTCTGTCCTCCTCAGGCTCCAGCCGGTTTATATACCCACAGCTAAATAGTTCTCGAATAATCCGTAGTAGCCGAGATTTTTTTCCATTCGTCTATGAACGGCGCCAGGCGTTTTAGTCAGCTTAAACCGGGTTCACACGGGTCCGCAACAATACAAAATACATTTAAACTGAAAGAGGACCCGCCATTGAATAACCGGAAACGGAAATAAAAATGAAACCATCATGTCAATATGTCAATGGAAAAATTAGTTCTCCAGACAGCCACAATGGCTCTTGGTGGAATATCGTGTTTTCACGATTTTCCACGAAAAAAAAGCTAAAAGGGACGAAGTCCCTTTTAGCTTTTAGTTATACATACAGGGTCCGGCAATAGTGCGTCGGGCATCTGTCGCTCCTAGAATAAAAAACTTGAGAATTTTGTTTAAGTGCAAACCTAAAGTATGTACCAGGATGTATTTCAGGAAAATATTTTAACTTCTATAGGGTGGCTCAAAAAAGTGTGAGTGGACCTGGATGATTTTTTTTAAATGGAACACCCTGTATATTATTGCATTTTTGGCTTCCTTTCAGATCACGTTACATAACCCTAAGATATGAATAAATATATTTCGATAGTTTCAGAGATATTAAAAAATAAATCAAAAATATATATTTTTCAGCCCTTCTTAAAAAAATTATTAAAAATACAAGAACTTTTCTGAAATCAAAACTACATTAGGTATTTACATTAGATGGTCTGTTCTTACTTTGCTATAAATATGAAAATCTTAAATTATACAGGATGTTCAAAATTCTACGCCAAACTTACTAAAAATATAAAATAATTTTCTTCGTTTTTTTAAATGGAACACCCTGTATTATTATTTTTCAATAGACGGAGAATTAAAAAATGAACATTTTTTGTATTTAGAGTATTCAAAATTTTGAACGGTTTCGCAGATATTTGCAGTTTTATATTTCATATGGCATTTTCCACAGTAAATTTTTATCAAAGCCAACCAATGATTTTTCTCTGATATTTTACCATTGAAAGCGCCATATGAAATAATAACTGCGTGTATTTGCGAAATCGTTAAGAATTTTGAAATACTCTAAATACAAAAAATGTTCATTTTTTTACTCTCCATCTAATAAAAAAATAATAAACAGGGTGTTCCATTTAAAAAAAAACAAAGAAAAAAATATTTTATATTTTAGAAAGCTTGGCGTAGAATATTGAACATCCTCTATGATTTACGATTATCATATTTATAGCAAAGTGAGAACAGACCATCTAATGTAAATACCTAATATAGTTTTGATTTCAGGACAGTTTTTGTATTTTTAATTAAGAAGGGCTGAAAATATATTTTACAGAAGAACATATTAATATTTCTGAAACTATCGAAATATATTTTTCATATCTTAGGGTTATGTAAAGTGATCTGAAAGGAAGCCAAAAATGCAATAATATACAGGGTGTTCCATTTAAAAAAAATCATCCAGGTCCACTCACACTTTTTTGAGCCACCCTATAGAAGTTAAAATATTTTCCCGAAATACATCCTGGTACATACTTTAGGTCTGCACTTAAACAAAATTCTCAACTTTTTTATTCTAGGAGCTACAGATGCCCGACGTACTATTGCCGGACCCTGTATAAAGTACCGCAATTGGTTTGTTCAGTGTTATTGGTGCCAAAATGGTGGATTTTTGGGGATTTCTGCAAGAACTGTAGTGGTAGGTTTGTTAAAATGTCATATTTGTCTGATTTGTCATATCGAATGTCGAGAAGATGTCAATTTCGGAATAAAAAATATTTTTCCCGATATTTTAAAACAATTATAAAGCCACTAAAATGCTACAAATTTATGTAGTAATAATAACAATGTATTAAGGTCGATATACTTAGTGAAGAAATGTGTATTATAAGAAAAGACCGCCATTTGATGTATTTTCCAACGCCCGATGATATATGCTTAGTAAAAATATAGAATACAAATAGAATACACAGCACTCAGTGAAATGGCGCTGATCAAGTTTTTCCCTGGACCCTTCACTTGAATCTATTGTTCCAAAGTACAAAAAAGTACTAATACAGGGTAGTGTGAGGAAGTCCAATATTGTCGTTGTTATCGAACACGTGAAAAAGTTTTATATAAATGTTTTATGGTTTATAAAGGTGCATATCCTAAAAATATTTTGTTGAATACAAGGTATCTCAAAAAAGTAATGATAAACGCAACACCCATTTTATTGCACAGTGTTGGATTCAGCATAGAATTCTCAATATACTGGTAGTACAGTATCTTTATTTGAAGCACTATGCGGTGTGGCAATGCTATTACTTATTTAGTGAAACCTTGGTTTAAAACACTTCATCCGAGAAGAGGTTAAAAACTGGAGTGAATTTAACTCGAAATATTAATACTTTACCAAGATTTTCCTAAACAAGAATAACAAAATAAATTCGATAAGGAAAATTTACAATACCTTATGCAGGGCATTTTTCATGGCATGGCGTCGCCAACATCGAAATATGTAAAAGCTATATCTCATTTTTTACACCCCGTTCAAATGTCCATTTTTTAATTCTGCAGCTAAAAGAATAATAATATACAGGGTGTTGCATTTAAAAAAAATAAATTTTAAAAATTGCGATGTTAGTTACTGAAGAAAAACACCCTGTATTAAGCTAATGTAAATTTTCCTTCGTACAATTATTCTGATATCCTTAATGTTTAGGAAAATATAGCTAAGTATTAATAAAGTTAAATTAACTTCAGTTTTTTAACCACCACATAGAGAGTGGGCCACTGAGTAAAGTTTTCTTTGAATTTGAATTTAGATAAATTTTATAGTAAAACCCTTGTTTATAATCAAGGGTAAAACAAAGCTATAATATATGTAAAGTAATACCTATTACCTGTATAAAATCAGCTGTTTACTATCACTTTCAGTTGAAGCAGCTATCTTACTTCTAATCCCGTAGATTAAGGTGTCTATGTACCGCAGCAAAGGCGATATTTGTAATAATAAAAATATAATCCTAATAATCCACTGTCCTATAGATGCCCTACCCACGGAATGATCATCGTGATCGATAATATACCTGTAACAAAACGAAAAAAAAAATAGAATTGGTCCAAGTAATCAGCATAAAACTATTAGCCCACTATATATTAGCCCACAGCCACACAGAAAACTATTTTTGCGTTTTTTGCGTGAAACGTCTTTTATGATTAAACCAAAATAACAGGCTGAACCTAAGAAGATTCGAAGATATATTATACATTTCTGAACCTTCCCCGACCCAGTAAAAGAAAATAATATAAAAAAATTGGTCAATCCATACCATTCATTATCTATAGAACATTAGACATTATATTATTATAAACTTTTTTCCGATTTAGCTGAAATTTTGAATGCGCGTATAAGTAATTTAAAAAAAATGAAGAAACACATTACTAAAAATTGTATTAATCAATAATAAATATGTAAAAAGTAAAAATAAATATGTAAAAATATGTAAAAATTAAAAAAAAACGATTGAAAAAAAGTCGCCTTGACTACGATTCGAACCTGCCTTACTACAGCTCAACGCCTTTAACCACGTGGCCACCGAGGACTTGAAATATTCTATGTAAAATTCGTACTTAAACGTTAATGTTTAGTGAAAGTACTTTTTTTATTTATAAACATTTATTTAATTCTATTTTTAGTATTTTTTCTTATAGCGGCAACATAGATACATTATCTGTAAAAATTTCAACTGTCTAGGTATAACGGTTTATAAGATAGACCTTTGTGACAGACGGACGGACGGACAGCGAAGTCTTAGCCCGTGGTTACATTGGATGCGTGTCCGTACGTTTTTTTGGTCGTACGTACACGGACGTGCACGCAGCAAAAAACAAACAAATGCTATCTACGTAGGCGGTTACATTGCATCGGAGTTTGCGCGTCCGTGCACGTACGTCAATTCCCGTTGGTCGGATGAAAACGAACTGATTTGTTTTTTTAATATGCGCACGTCCGAGCGTTCAAATTTTTCTTCTCTGATCCCAATACATTTTAGAAAAATTTGAATATTTTTGAATACCAGGTTTAATTTTATTTGGGATATATTAATGTTGATGGAGACATCCTAAAATATTCAAAAAATTAAACCGATTGGTCTTAATTCACGAAATGTTTTACATATTCATTTTCTTCTCCTCTTCTTGCATATAAATCATTTACCCAACATTTTCTTCTTTTCAAGAGTAGTTATTTTAACATTATATCCTCACACAGCATCAAAGTTGTGGCGTTTGTTTTGACATCTCAACACACAGGACACCATGAACGCGCATCTGATGTAACCACTATAATAAAATAGTCGTGCGAGTAAATTCCGTCAGAGCACGCACGTATAAAAAAACGCACGGACCCGCGTCCAATGTAACCATGGGGCGGGCACTCCTGCGATTTGACAGGTCTTTATTTTTAGTACATTCACGCGCCACGGATTGTGCTGTTGTCGCTTCCACACGTCAGCTGGTCAGCCCCACTCCCCAAACTGTCGATCGGACACAATTTTCGCGTCGCACGTGGTCGTGGTCAGTTGTCGGTTTGTGTTTTGCTTTCTGTGCTGTTCGTTTCGTTACTGTAGTGGTGCGATTCGGTGTTTTTTTAGCATAAATTCCCAATATATTTGTTCAAAATGGTATTCTGTTATGGTGTTACTGGCTGTAGAAACACTAGCAAAGATGTGAAAACACATTGCCTACCAAAATACTCTGAGGTAAGAATCTACCTTTAATTTTTATGTTATTATAATATCTTAATTCAGTCCATTTCAGTTAAAAGTTTGTCTTAGAATCTCATTTTAAAAATATTAAATTCTACTAAAGTGTAGTTTTTCCATTATTTTGTTTTAGTAAATATTCTATATTCTGTTATTTTATACTAGGTACTTAAAAATTTTTTTTTTATTGTTTTTATAGATGAGAAGAAAGTGGTGCCAAGCAGTAAATCGACTTGATTTGGTAGATATTTTGTTTATATTTTTTATTTAATTCTAAATAAAATAATATAAAAGTAATCTCTGTTTTTTATTAACATATAATTTTACATTAAATACATATCTTGAATAATTCAAAGCAATAAAGTAGGTTGCAAACTATTTATATTTGATGAAATAGTAATCAAAACAATAGTTGCAACTTGCTTTATAGTTTTGAATTATTCAAGATATGTATTTAAAAATAAATTGTAAAATTATTCCGATTTGAATATATCGGCAAATGAAGCTTAGTACCCGCACGCACCACGAGCGTCGCTGCAAAACATGTTTTGGCGGGAGGGATTAGTTCTGTTATCTATGAATGTAACCGCGGGCTTACAGTCGTATTCATAGTCGACCGGAGCTTTCCGGAAATTCATCATTTTTATTTCAGAGTCGAGCGCTCTCCGAGTAACGCGTGCGCACATCCGTCATATAGATTAACCGCTCTCTCGCCGGCGCAGGCGGGCGTTTGGATAAGCATTTTTTTCCGTTTCATATTCGATCTCCAGGCGAAGAACACTTGCGCAGTTTAAACCCCATCCGGTGATATTCGGCCGGCGACTGGAGCATGTCCTTACTAGTGATGGGATAACTCGAGCGAACATTCGCTCGATTATTGAAATAACCGACATCGCTCGATTATGAACGAGCGATGCAAGTGACGAGTACCAAGCGACGAAGAGGTGGCGGTATTTGTACTAAAAATCAAAAATACTCAAAACCGAACGTCACTTCGGGCATGTTCGTTTGTCCTCAAAATTCCTATTTTGAGAATTTTGGCCCGACTTTGTCCTGGCTAACGTATTAAATCTGTCAACGCCGCATAGTTTTCAATCTTGTTTTGTTTTTGAATTTGACAGGATTAACCTCAGAAAAAGTTTAAAATTGTAATTTTTATAAACATTGACGAATAATGTTATGAATAATGTAATAGAACTGCTGTAATGCTGCTGTAATAGACATTAGGCATAACAAGTAATTGTAAAAATATGAGCAAAAATGAGATGGTTTAAAACAGTGAAAACTTTAAGGTTAGGAAATTTCAAACTCAAAGGGAAACAAGAAAACTGATTAAAAACTGATAACTAAGTACCATTAAACTGACAAGGTAAACTAGTAAGTATTTTATTATGCATCTATTTAGTATAACATTGTGTATTTTATGAAATGTATTTCTTTTAAATTACAGCTAAACGCATAATACAAAAAACAATTTATCATCTTTAAAACCATAAGGCACAGCCATAGGGTATATGATATATGAGATAGGTACAGTACATGGTAGGTACAATATGATCGAAAAAAAAACGGCGTCAGCGATGGCTATGAAATAAAGATCGATGTCTTTTACAGAGTCTTTTATATGTAAAATTATACAGGGTGTCCCAGAAATGAGTGCAGATATTTTAACTGGTAGTATAGTTCAACCCCAGAAACACGCCTATGAGGTTTTTTTGCGAAAAAAAAATGTTGAAAATTTTATATTTTTCTTGACATTTTCCGGAAAATGTTGAAAAAATTTTGAGTGCCACTGTTCACTCCCCGGGAAATTCGTTTACCGGGCATAGAGAGTATCGGAGAGAATGCAACGTTGCCACCTCCTACCATACCCACATTCTGCATGTTTATCTATGCAATTATTTTAAGTTGCTACAGAAAAAAATACGAAAATTAATTTTATTCATATTAGTGTAGATTGCTCTACTAATTCTTGAGAAACGCGCAATATTTTAAATACTTTTTACAGTGGAGTAAACTGAAAAAATAAATCTTAACAATTATAGCATCTTTTTTCGCCGTATTATTGCTCTACTAATTCTAGAGAAACTCGCAATATTTTAAATACTTTTTACAGTGGAGTAAACTGAAAAAATAAATCTTAACAATTATAGCTTCTTTTTTCGCCGTATTAGGAAATATTTTCAATCGTTTCAATAAACAATTATAACCTTTAATGTTTAGTTAGAGCTTACCCTTTTAATGAAAGTGTTTTTTATCCAGCACACATATACGCAAACACATACACACCAAATATCTATTAAACTGAACATCACAAACCTATCACATGATAATAATCAAACACTAAACTCATAAATACAATAAAAAATGTTAAAAAAACTTGCTTTAATAACTACTTATATCCGGCGACTGATGGTAGACAGTCCGGGGTATTCTTCGACATTTCTTCAAAACCGACGCAACCCCGACAACGATTTCGAAAACACTGAAGGACTTACAAATTACAAATTTTTATTTAAAAATTTTTTGACTTAGCGTCCTCTACTGGACTGATGTATTACTATTATGGGTCAACGTTTTGGTGGTTGTATAAAGATAGATAAATCAATTTTCTAAATGTTTAATGTATGGAGTAGGGTTATCCCAAAAATAAAATAAAAGTACAAGAAAGAATTAAGGTAAAATCAAAGAAAATTCTACGTTATCTAAAATATAAAAATATGGGAAGCCCCGACAAAAATCTGACACCTGATATCAAAGTGATAAACAAACATCGGCGCATGTGGCAGCGAGCACTTACACTTAATTTTTCAGTTCATTGCTAGATGGCCTTTTACTAGGGATGCACTGCAAACAAATATTCCAGCAAAACTAAAGTGTTTTTTCTTATTCTAAATTCTAACAAATAAATAAACCTGTAAAACTGTATAAATAAAATCGGTCTTCGATTTAAAAAAAAAGATCGATTACACCAAAAAATCGTTTGATAAAAATCACGTCGATTTGATAAAAATCGATTCGAATCGTACATCCCTAGTATGGTGTTGTGGCGGATCGATATCGACAATCCCATCCATACTAGGGCTGTGCATAGAATCCCGAGCGAAGTCTATCGGTGCCAAGAAGAAAAAAAGAAGAAGAGCGGCATCGGCTGACAAAATAAGACATAACGTGTTTTTCAATAATTATTTTATTGTAGAATAATTATTTAGTTGTGTAATTAAAGAGCAGATTGAACACGTCCCTTTATTTATGGACTTTTGAGTTGTGAAAAATCTAAACAGTAAACCCAGCTGATTTCAGATTATCATATTCACACCCAG